GCGGCGGGGCGGCCGCGGGAGGAGCCGCACCGGGAACTGTGGCCGCCATTTTGCAAGAGAGAGAGGCTAGGTCCTCCGTACCGACAGTAATTGGCTGAGCCGAACGTCTGTCATGCAGCGCTGCCTTTCTATTGGCGAGAGGGGCGAGCTGAGGCCAACCGTGAGCGTGCGTTGAGGGGAGACGCTCTGATTGGAGGAAGCTCGCACCGTCAGTGACTGAACCTGACTCTTGTTCCCACCCTCCCGGGGCCGGAAAGTTTCTCAATTGGGCGCTCCCATTCCCCGCCTCCCCGTTCTCCGCTCTTCTATTGGTCAGCAGCGGCCCCCGCCCGTCTTTCCGGCCGTTTATTGGCTGCGGAGATGCCGCTCAGCGCTGCGTAGGGAGGCGGCGGGGTCGCGCCCGGCGCGCGGTGCTGCGCGCTCCCCTGGCGAGCGCCCTCCTGCGGGCGGGCTGGGCACGGCAGGGCCGCTGTCGGGGGCTCCGGGCGCCCTGAGGGCACCGGCGGCCGCTGCCGCCTCACGGCTGGGAGGTGGCGGAGCTGCAAACTCAGCTGTGCGGGCGCGGCACCCGGGGAAGGTGCTCCAGTAGTGCTCTCTGCGGGGCTATACATCCCTTGAGGTCTTGGCCCTGTGAGAAAGGCAAGTGCTGTTAGTTTTTATTGCCTCAGTAGAAGAATAAGTGGTTGTCAAGTATTCTTCTGAGAGGAGATGCTGCTTACTCCTATCCAAGGTTTAGTGACTACCCACCAAATTCACTAACTGGATGACACTTGCCTGTTCCTTGTAGTGCCCCGTGTGTTCGCTCGCGGGCAACGAAGCTGTGCGGGTGGGGCGGCATCGCTGGGCTGGTGACACCGCATCGCAGTGCGCAGCTTCCTCGTGAGGGGAGGCGGAGGGACAGGCACTGGTGATGTCTGTGGTGACACTGACAGGGGCCAAGGGAATGGCCTGAAGGTGCGTCACGGGAAATTTAGTTTGGATATTAGAAAAAGGCTCTTCACCCAGAGAGTGGGCGGGCTCTGGAACACAGGGTCCCCAGGGAAGTGGTCACAGCACCAGCCTGGCAAAGTTCAGAAAGTATTTGGACACTGCTTTCAGGCGCATGGTGTGACTCCCGGGTATGTCAGGAGCTGGGTCAGTGGGGCCTTTCCACCTGAGGATATTCTGTGAAATGAAACATGTACGCTTTCAATAGCTGCTAAGACGACTGGATTCTTTCAGAACCTTGTTTTCCCTTTGTTAACTATTTTTTCATGACAGATGGCTTTTGGAGTTTTCTCTGCTTCATTAGTTGAGGCCTGAACACCATCAGTGAATAAGCAGTTTCAACTATGTCATTGAGGAAGGCTTCTGAGTATAAAGTGCCTCAATGAAAGGATTACAAATTCTGCCTATGTGGAAGCAGTTTGCTTCTCTTACGTAAGTGGGGAACACCTTTCAAAACCACAAAGGAGAGCTAATGCATGGGAGCATGAACAGATTTTATCTCTTCATAAAAGCACTTCCAGGTCTGTGTACCAGTAAAAACTAGATCTCCTATTCTTAGGCTTTCTCCGTGCAGCTTTCATTTCTTGTAGGTGTGGCTGGATCAAATTGCATACGCTTTAAAGCGTTTCTGTTCCCGGAACTTTGATGTCCCTGTCCCGGGCTTTGATGTGTCATTGAGAAGTCTAATGTGTGAGGTGTTCTTGTTAGAGAGTAGTTGTTTGATCTCATTCTTGTTTGCATCAAACCGGGCTTGGTGCTTAATTTGACATAGTCAGCCGTGGAGTCATGTGGAGCAAGCAAGGCTCTACAAGAGCCTTCACGAAGGCTACACTTCGATGTTTTCACCTTAAAAATTGGGCAACTTAATATGAAGCAGCAGTTGTACTTCAAAACTGGCAACTGTGATAACCTTCTTTTAATACTTTGATGTCAAGTTGCTGCACAGGCTGCTGGAGAGTGTATGTAGTGAGTGAAGATGGATAGCCTGTATCTCAAAAGTCAAAGACCAGTGGATGGCTCATACAAAACCCACTTAATACAAAGACTGTAGAAATCTAATGATAAGAAAATCAATCATGTGATCGTGCCTGGAGCAGATGTGTCCAAGCTACAAAATTGTTTTTTCCTTGCTAAACAACTGCTGAAAAATGAAGACCTTTATAATTAATATTGTTTCACAGAGTATCAGTTTAGTTTTAGAGGAAGTTCACTTATCAATGGTGCCTATTGATGAAAACTTGACAACCATCTACTGATATGGTTAAGATGTTCAGATACTACCCCACTGCAGGAGAATCTGTCTGCCTAGAGGGACACAGAAAGCACATTCTCATGTGTACATGGATCAGCATGGTAACTCAGGGCCTCCTGATTTTAGTTTCCCTTGCTAGGCTTCCCTGCATCAAATTTCAATGATGAATATAATTATCTCCGAGCTCTGCTCTTGTATAATTTCTCTTTATAGTCCTTGATTGTGACTGAGTCATTATTATTGTATTTGCTGTCATGTCAGCTGCATTTTCACTGATGATGTGCAATTTCTTTATCAGTAGCCATCTTCTTATCTTGCTTGTATTACTAGAACTAACATAATTTCTTGCTCTAGGGGATATTTGTTACATTGCATTACAGGTAAAATAAAATATCTACAATTGATTTGATTCATCATTTCAGGATGTAGTTTTATCTGGTTAGTTTCATGGGATGGAATATGATATTTTTATTCCTTTCTTATACAAAAGGTTTCCCATTGTACATTTTGTCTCCAAGGCTGGAAGAAGACACAGGCGATCCAAATTGACCAAAGGGATACTCCAGACCATATAACATCATGCTCCATATGTAAACTGAGAGAAGAAGGAAGAAGTGGGGGATGTTGGGAGTGATGTTTTTTTGTCTTCCCAAGTAATGGGTGTAGGTCGTGGCATCCTGCTTTCCTGGAGGTGGCTGAACACCTGCCTGTTGCATATAGGTAAAACCTTATAAAATAAGGGCCTTGTTACTCTTGTAAAATCATGGCTCAGGCATGCTACTTTGGCGAAGTAGAAGAGGGCTATGGGAAAGGGACTCAGCTGAATTGGAGTTAGAAAAACAAGTTATATAACCATTACACGTTCACATCATGGTTTGTGGCAGTTGGTTGGATTTCATTTGTTGTGCTTCAATGGAATATACCTGATAACTGGCTAACTGCTTAAAAAGGCCTGCTTTATTGTTTTATTTTGCAATAAAGGGTTCTCTCTTGCACCTGCCCACGGACTCTGCATTACCCAGCTTCAAAACACTTGCCTGTCCATGGGCAGCACTGAATTAATTCCTTGTTCTGTTTTTCTTGTGTGTGTGGCTTATGCTTTCCCTATTAAACTGTATCTGAACCCATGAGTTTTCCATCTTTTACCCTTCTCATTCTCTCCCCAGTCATGTTGGTGGAGCTATGAGTGAGTGGCAACCATGCGAGGATCTATTAGTTCTGCCTTCTATCCAGGACTTTTATATGGTGCAGTCATGGGCAAGGCCTTCAGGTTTTGGGTTGTGAGGGGTTGGTTTGTTTGTCTGGGGGGTTGTCTTGTTTTTTTTCCTGTTAAAAAAGATAGTAGTTCCCTTATTTAGTCTTCATCACACATCTTAGGTACTCGTGCATTTGGGATTGCCAGTCACCAGCTCCCAGCACCATGCATTGGCAGACTCAGCCGCATCATTTCAGCAAAAAGGATTCAAGCCTTTCCCTGCTTTTGTGTAATATTTTATGGGGCTACCTTAATTATCAGAGAAATAACACTGACACATAGGACTACTATGTCACTACTATATTACTACTCTAATGCTTAGAGTGAGAATCCAAATACCACCTAAAAATAATGAGGCATAGTGCCAATTATATACATGTTGATAAAAGAATATACCTTTGCTAAAGTTAGAGTGGCTATGGAAGTTAGCATTAGGTGATCAAAAATCTCACACTGAGGGCTGCCTGGTGCTTTTTAGTCACTGTAGAGAAATATGGAGATCCAAGCTGAAGTAAAAGTACACAATGAAATTTGCAGTGAAAACTAATGGAGAGCAATGGCCACAGGCTGGCATGCATAGGGCAACAGATACTTTCATGGTCAGAGTTTTATACTGACTGAAGAAGGGAAAATGGAAACACATAGTCAATAAAGAATGGCTGTGGAAATAAAGAAGTATCCTAAACCCCAGGCAAACCCCAAATGGTATGAATGTTTGACTCAGAGAACTGTTGAAATTTTTAAATTGTTGAAATATGTCCCCAAACCTATTCATTTAGCTGCTTTTATTTAGTTCATGCATGTAGAGGTCCACTGCTTCCAATGGCCAGTGAGAGATCAGTCAAAAAAAGATGGGTGAATCTACATTAAACCACTAAGGTGTTTTTAGGTAAACTACAAAAACACAGTAAAAGGCATTTTGATTTGAAAGACAGATTTTTGATGTTGCAGTGCCATAACCCCTCAGGCTTTAGTGGGAGTGTATCAGTAATAACTTGGAAAAGACTCTTCAAGAAGAGGAGGTGTGTTTGGTGGTGTGCTTTTTTGTTGTAATTTTGTAAATCACTGCACACTGCTGGGATCCATGGCTAACTGCTTTTATTCCAAAAGTGCAAATAACCTCAAGTTGCACAAGGTTTAGATTGGCTATTAGGAAAAATTTACTCACTGAAAGGGTTGTCAAACATTGGAACAGGGAAGTAGTATGTTTGGTTAGATATGTCAATTGGGGAAATGGCTTAGTGCTGGAGTTGGTAGTGACAGGTTAACAGCTGAACTTGATCCTCTTAGAGGTCTTTTTCAGCGTAAATGACTCTGAGTCTACGATGCTCTGAAAGAGTCTTGTGTTGTCTCATACCACGCCTCTCCTGTGGTCTGGTGGTCCGTACAGTCATCAGCCTATTTTCCTGGGTGTGTTACCTGACTGAGAATGCTAGTCCTAATATTCTATATAAAGGCAGCGGTGTATTTTATGGTGCAGACACCGACAGATCTTACCGAAGGTGCTGCCTCTCATGCCAGTCGCAGCAAAGGTCCTTCCCCGGCGAGAGCGGGCGCTGTGCGGGAGCTCCGGGGTCGGATCCGCATTCCCGGGGGATGCGCGGCATTCCCCGCCAGGGG